TCCAATATGTTTAAGATATATTTGATTTTTGTGGAGATCTAAAAATATTTGAGAAGATATTTGCTACATTAAAAACGATTTGACAAATATTATCTTTTGATATTTATTGATATAGTTCAATAAGGTAATAATCTAATAATATCAAATCAAATATCTTAAGATATATTTTCCCCAAATTATATTTAATCATAAAAATTTATCAATTATCAAAGCCCTTTAGTAGAAAAAATAGAGAAAACCGCAAAATCCAATTTTTGATGGTTGTTCCCTATTCTTAGCTTAGCCAAATTTCTTCACTTTTTTCATGTTATGCTTGGATTAACTTCTTGTGGTCTTGATTATTTTCTATTCTTGGATTTATGTTTAAGGTGTCATGAAACTTTAACCAATTTATTTCCATACCTCAATGAGCTCAACTTAGTTGTAGCTGCACTAACACACATCAAAATATCAAAAAAACATTTATGCAACTAAAAAACTATTTTTAACATGTTTTTATATCTCATGCTAAATAAACCCAGTTATATGAAATATTAATTAAAATATTCTATTATAATACAAGTACCAATTAAGAATCCAATATTAAAGGCTAAACGACAGCATAAATATTCTCTCATCACTTGCTCATTAGTAACCAATGCAAATTTGTATAAATTGTTAAATGCTTATTGATGGATTAGCAATTGTACAAAATCGCACAAGTAATATAAAATGGTAAAACCAAGTATCGTATCCCAGAAGACTGTCGGCACTAGACAGTTGTGTGATAACTCGATTAATTAAGACTTAAATAAAACTAGATCATTGGTTTAAGATGCAAAGACATAAAATTAAATATGAATGCAGTTTGATCAATAGTATATTATCATATTGATTAATGGATGTTGTTTATTATGAGATGAGTATGTTGTTGGGGTTAGATTTCACCAAGTTCCCTCTCATGTATGTAAGAATTCTTCTTTATGCATTAATGTTAACGTCACTCACTAAATCACCTAAACCCGATCCCTCGTCGAATAAGCCTGTCCTTAGTCACTAGTTCATGCAATTCCTAGCATTCCTAGTAATTAAATATGAAGATCAAGAGCATAAAGATGACCAAGACTCATACCCTCTGCGAATATGAATTCAACAAGAACCTGAATTGTAAAGAATCTCCCGACACTCATGCAATTCATAAATCATGCGATGAATGAGTTAAACAAAGCAGGTAATAAACACAGATGAATTACTCTAACAATTAATGAAAAAACATGTGTTATTAAGAATCAATTCAAATACATGAGAGTTCACAAGGTTACATCATCCCCCAACAACAAATAGAGTTTAGTTCACCATAGATATGATTAAACTAGATGAATAATGGAAAAGCATGAGATAGCAAAACCCTAAAAGTAGAGGATGGAAGCTTTTGCATCCAAATCCGCCTGTAGAGAGTGGAAGAGTGTGATGTTGTACTACTCTAGCCAGAGATACAGAACCTAGAACGTTTGGGTCCTTTAAATAGAGCGACAGTAGAACAGAAACAAAGCTCAGGCCCGAGTCAGTGGCGCTCAAGCGCCCCACTTAGGACACCCGGGCGGCGAGCGGTGGTCTTCCACGCTCAAGCCTTGCAAAAGACGCCCAAGCTTCGAGCTTTCGGCGCTCAAGCGCCCTAAAAGCGGCGCCCAAGCGGTGAGCGGTGAGCGGTGGTCTTCTGCGCCCAAGCCTCAGAAATGACGCCCAACCTTTGTGCATCCGACGCTTAAGCGCCCAAAAAGGGGCGCCCAGGCGGTGAGCAGCACTCTTCTACGCTCAAGCCTCTGAAAAGGGCGCCCAAGCTTCGAGCACTCCTCCCTTCTGGTGCTTTTCCAGGCCTTTCTGAGCTCCATCTCCATGGCACTTCATCCCTACTTTCCATATTATCTCATTTTCTATCAAAACAAGGGGAATTAGTCATAAAATCATTAAATTCAACCTCAACTCTCTTATTCACACAACTTAACAAAAAAACATGATTTCAAGCAAGTTTTAAGCAGGAAAAGGAGTATTTAGTATCAAAATTACATCACAGATAACGGTATTTTCAACCGTTATCAATGCTCGACTTGAAAATTTTGTTTAAACTATTAGTTCTTCAAACAAATATTTTTCAATCATTTAATCAAGTTTGTTACAACGTTTTTATAAAGTTAGATCTTAATAAAAAGACGTTTGGTGACAAGAGCTTTTGTAGGGTTAAAGTAATGCACAAATGCAAGATTTGTAAAAGAAACATTTAGTAAGAATAAAACAATAAACATAGTTATTTTTATACTGGTTCACTCCATTGTGCTTCGTCCAGTCTCCTCTAGGACCTCTTAGAGGATTCAACTATAATCTTCAACATAGTATTCTCACCACTCATAATATTACCTAGTCACTCTAAGTAACCCTTGTTACTCTAACTAGAACTAAGTTTCACTCGCTCCTGGTTGTGAAGTATTTTTTCCCACTCGTGGTATCCTTAGATACTCTGGGAATCTTCTTGATACATTGTTTAGTTGAGTTTTAGCCAGTCCTAGTTTCCACTAGACAAACTTGTCTAGCTATCGTTTAACTCCATCGAATTAAGCGTTAAGTGTTTGAATTCTCTTCAGAATTTACAATCAACAGATTGATTACAAGTCCTTAAACAATAAATCTCGCAAAGAGTTGTGTATACAATACAATTCAATCTAAAAGACTCACAAAGTTTTCTCTCTTCTTATAATAGCAAGCTTATGATTTTTTTAAGCTTAAGAGTATTTTTTTATAGTTTCTATTTTTCTTCACAAATATTTTCTTTTGTGTTCGTGTGCTTATTCTCTTGCTATTTTCTTCGATATTCTTCAATATATAGACTCCAACAAAATGTCTATTAGATAATACTTTGCTTTTGATTTTCGGACCTTCTTAGACAAGTTGTAGTAGCAGTCGTTGCTTAAAGTCAACTTGTCAAAGTAAGTGTGCTTTTTCAATTCTTTATCAAAAATAGTTTGTACGTACTCTTTGGCGTGACTTTTGATAGAGAGAACATTCTGTGAATGTCTTCTTTGTCTCTAACGTCCACTTTTGATTTGTATTTCATAGAGCAGGTGGATGCTTGACATAGGTAATCTACACAAAGTAGAGTAGATATGCATGCAAACAAATATGTCCTTTTTCTTATCACTTTTGTTGTTTTAAACGTTGAGTATTTAGTGACGTTTAATGCTTGTTCAGAACAACAAAGTGTTTTTCATATTTTCTACCGTTCAGGAAGGATTTGATTGTTTAAGTATTTGATCAAGATACCATGTACTTTATGAAGTTTTCATCGTTGGAGGAAAGGAATCATTTGGCACAATGTATTGTCTTGCCTATTTAAGGCTTTTACTGAAAATGCTTCTTCAAGTTATCTGTGTTTTGTTTGACAACGCGTTTAGTAGGGTGTCTTTCAACATAAAATTTTGGATCACCGTTTACAATTTGTAGCATACCTTCCAAAAGCATCTTTTGTCATTTTATCCATCAAGATATATTGAGAGCTTTTTTGAGCCTTGGTTAGCAATGTATAACATAAGTGTATTCAGTAAGATTCTTGTTGACGCATTAAATAGGAAAACCATTTAATAATGTGTCTGCTCAAGTATTGATGTGTTTACCAAAGGTTTTCTCAAGGTTTCTAGGTTTCGCAAAACTTTTTCATAAACCACTTTTATTTTAGCTATATGGCTTTTCCAAAGATGACGCTTTGTCAAATGCTCAGTTCTTTTAATGTTGTTTCTTAAATTTCAAAACGTATGAGGATGTTTAAACATTTTAGTTTTATAGACGATCTTGTCTTAATAATCTCCCTGTTTTTTATGTTTAACAAATACAGATCTAAACGGTATGGTTCTCAATCAGTCAGTATAAAAGTGTATTTATATTTTAAAAACTTTTTTGAAAACTTTTTAATGTGAATTCAAATTGACCATTTTACTAGTTTATTTTCATTTTAAGATTTTTTTTTCATATGCATCCTTTGAAAAGAACATATATCAAATAATATAAACATATATAAACAAGAAATAAATAAGTATCCAAACACATGAAACATATTAACTTCATTACTATGAATGTGTATATGAAGACTTATAACAAATATATAAATTATTTAAAACTACTTTTGTAACAAATATACAAATTATTTAGAAGTACTCTTACTTATAAGAAATATACAAATTATTTAGCAATTACTCTTACTTATAATAAATATACAAATTATTTAACAATCATATCACAATTGGTCGTGGTTTGTTAAAATTGTAAAAAAGAATATTTTATTAATTTAGAGTTGTTCAGGATTTGATATCACTCGATCATTTATCAAAAGGTTACTTAAACTAAAGGAAAAAAAAAATCAAATTGATTTGACTTTGGTTTAATATAAATTTAAACCAAATTAAAACTAACATTTTACCATTTGATTTCAATTGATATTTTTTGTTTTTTGTTTTTATAAATGATTTTTGCAATTTTTAATAAATTATTAAATATTTTGTAATAAAAAATTATAACACACACATTATATTTTTTTAATAATATCATATTTTAATAAATTTAAATATACTGTAAATATACATAGTTAATTTAGTTATAATTAATCAATGATTTTAAATATATGATAAAATGTTTAAATACAAAATATGGCTTAATTCCTTTAATAATTTTCAATCCAAAATCTAAATTAAATTTTCAGCTGAGTAAAGGAAAAAGTTGATTACAATCAGTTCATGAATTTTTTGAGATTGATTATCCTCTACTTTTTTATTGATTATATTTTAAGTTAATCTGTATTATTATTTTTCTAGAAATAAAATGAAAACGGAGAAATACAAGTGTGAATCTAATGTACTTTTCGTATGATTTTACTACATTGTTGGTTTGGTTTGGAGGGATTTGAGGATTGGGTCACATACCAGATAGTCCAATGACTGCAGATTTCTCTGGATAACGCATATCACGTGTCGCCTTCTTCTTCACTCCACATAACTTCAAAGCTTCCATTTTTCTGGTTTGCATCTCTCTCTCTCTCTTTCTCTAGAGACACCATACAAGATAGTTGTGGTGGCAGCAATGGGTGTCTCCTTCCTCTCAACTTGCCCTTCTCTGCTTTCACTCGTTGCTAATGATACACCACCCTCCACCAGATACCACCCGCGTTCAGTAAGTTTGCTCTTTGCTCTACCAGTGTTTCACAACACACAATGCAGTTGCAGTTATTGGTTTCCCAAGTTCATGGGTGCTTTTAAGTAGCATTGTTCATGAATTATGAGAAATGGGTTTGAAATTTTGCATTGAAATGACAAAGAAAACCTCAATTATTTTTAACTTCAACTCTTTCCTACTTATTGTATGTCAGTTATAACCGTTTTTTGCTTATGTTCAATGTGTTCTTAGGTTTCCATTTGTTGTAATAAAACCATTAGCGATGTTGTTGGTGAAGATCCGTTCCATTGGAGAAGAAGAGAGGTTCTTAAATGCGTTGGGGCAACCGTTGGCTTGGTAAGAATCATTTTACTGCAAGCTTTTGAGAAATTCAGTTGATCCATTTTTATTTTTTCAGTTTTATTTATTTTCTCTTCAGAGATCTAAGCATTTTTAATGTGATGAATATGCTTTACTCAGAAACAGAATCATTATTTGACAATGACGCAAGAGGGAAACTATTTAGTGCACGTTCTTAAAAAATGTAATGTATTTTACTTCAATGCACAAGGATTTTTGTTTTGAACAAACAATAATTGAATTCATTTGAAATTTAGTTATGCTTGCAAGTGTTAACTAAGTCAGGTTTGCCAAATTTTCTTTGGTTGATGATGATGGGCTTTAAGATTACTGCAACAAAATTACCTAAAGTGACTCGGGGACTGGACAAACTTTCTTTATTTAAGGACGGGGGTTGAGTTGCGACATTTGCAAAAAATTAACTATAAGGGTAATACTGGTAACTATAAGATAGCTTTAGCTTATGTGGAGAACGAGTCACTTAATGACAACTTAATAAAATTCAGATGTCATTTAGGTAGCTCATACATGCACTTGAGATGTTTAACAGAGAGAAAAACACCATTGATTAAGACTGATGTATTGCAAGTATCTCATCTTTGCAACGAGATACCTGATGTCAGAAAACAAGAATTAAATTTTGACAAACAACAAACAAGAACAACCAATCTAACCAAAAATGAGAGAGAAATGGAAGAAGGTGCATGCACAGGGACTTTTATACAAGTTAAATCTCTAAATACAAGTTCATCAGACAGGGCCTTTTCAACTGTCGTATGTAAAGTGGATTTTGTGCAAAAAAATGCAGCAACTTATCAACACAAAATCATTAACTCTTGAGCAGATTTACATCTTAGTCATTCTCCTTTGCATTTTTTTTGTAATGTAATCTTCTATAGATAGGTCCAGCTACTGTCTTTGAAAAGATCCATGTTTCATTACATTTATTATTAAACAAAAGCTTATATAGCTTGAATTCTCTTTAAGGATTGTTGCTCAGGATTGCACTAGCTCATGTTGAACAAATGAACATCTCTTCTTCCCATAGTTTCCAGCATTTCATCTTCTATTATTTATAGATAATTTTCCATGATCTTGGACAACTAAGTCTCAGGACAAAGACCAAGAGATATTATCTAAAGTCATCAAGTGCTATGTGCGTGTTTTTGGGTTCCAAGTTTTATGCTTGTAATCTTCATAAATAGTTCAAATAGGAAGGCTAACATGTTGCACCGTTAGATTTGCCTCATGATTAACCCAAATTTTCTATGGTCAACATTCTGTGGTGCTTCATATTTATTGCCTCATTTTGGCTTTGTTTTCATATAGCATCATTCTTTTGAGTACCTAATGCAAATGTAACACTAGTTATTTACAGATATAGATGTTTACTGGAATACACTATAATGTATGTTCTTAGTGTATAAGATTGATGTGATGATGAGTTTCGGTCAGTTGTATCTGTTTTTTAGGAAATAATTGGAAGCTCTGGATCACTAGTTGCAATGGCTAATGCAGCTGACTTGATAGAGCGAAGACAGCGTTCTGAATTTCAGTGTATGATCCTTTAAGGACGTTCATATGAATATTCGACATGTCAAATTCAACTGATCTCTCTTATCTGAATTCTTTCTATTTTTACAGCTCAAGTCAAGGGAACACTTTATAATGCCATAAAGGTATAGTATGCTGACTAACATTTAATTGTAAAAATCTGCATGTTTGTAGACTGTACATTTATCAAACTCCGCTTTATTTTTGTCCAGATAATAGAACTCCTTATGTGATATGGGTATAGTCTAATTTGACCTAGGACTGCTTTTCAGGGAAATCCTGATATTATTCCATCCTTACTGAAACTGGCTCTAAATGATGCTTTGACTTATGAGAAGGTGAGAAAAACACACAAGTCTATATGTATGCACCATAGTTGCTTTCTATAATTTAAAATGAGTATTGATTGGCGTATGCTTAAGTTTGTAGGCAACAAAATCGGGTGGTCCAAATGGCTCTATACGGTTCAGGTACTTCTTTTTGGGTTTAACATTTATGAAAACTGTACCCTGTAACTAATAGAACCTAAATGTCTGTCTTGTTTGAGAAAATATTTTCTGTTCTCATTATAGGCTTTTACTTTGAATCCTGTGTACTGGGGTTCAACGAAAAAGTGAAAACAGAAAAAGAAAAGTTATTTTCACTGTTTTGTATACAATTTTCTGAAAAGTGAATAGAAATTTCTCAAAACAAATAACCGTAGGTGGATTCCTTAATTCTTTTTGTAGAATGGTTTCTCTACCAAGTAAGGGGCACTGAGCTGGTTGTTATTGTCGTAGTACTGCATCTATTACTCCTACCTTTTTTGTATGCATCAGAAATTTCACTTAATTCTACTTACTACTAATAATAATTTTTTCTCCTCTTTATTTTTCTAATTCTGCCTGAAGCTCAGAAATAAGTAGACCAGAAAATACAGGGCTTTCTCCTGCCTTAAATTTGTTAGAGGAAGCAAAAAAGGAAATAGACTCATATTCCAAAGGTGGACCCATTTCCTATGCAGATCTGATCAACTATGCAGGTTATACTTTTTATCATAACCTAGTTGACGCTTAATAGTCATTAACAATACTTGTTTTAGATGTATATTCTGTGTCTGTTAAATTTTTGACCATTTCATTTGAAGTTATATGTGATTCTGGTGGAAGAAGTTGTGGAGATTTTTCTACTTCCGCTGACTTTTGACTTAATTGTTTACAGCACAAAGTGCTGTCAAGGCCACATTTTTAGCTGCTGCCATTCGCAAATGTGGTGGAAATGAGGAGAAAGGAAATATCCTGTACAATGCATACGGATCAAATGGGCAGGTTTGCATATTCTTTACTTGTAAACCAATTATAGTGTACTTAACAGTATCTTTAAGGTGGCATCCACAAGTGTAGATTTATTGAATTGTATGCTTTATACTGTCATTACTTATTCGCTAATGCGTGCAACTTTTATTGTGGAGCAGTGGGGTTTGTTTGATAGGCAATTTGGTAGGCTTGATGCTCAAGACCCGGATCCAGAGGGTAGAGTTCCAATATGGGAGAAGGCAAGTGTGCAGGAAATGAAAGACAAGTTTTCTGCTGTCGGATTTGGTCCTCGCCAGGTAATTCACATATTTCATTGTTCTTTTTGCTAACTGAAAAGTAGAAAGACATACAATCAGAGAGCATGTGCACAGAGGAGAGATTGTGATCTTTGTTTCTATGCTGCTAGTGCAAAAGATTGTACACTAACCAACAAATTTTCCAGTTTCCTCTAGACATTGTGAAAGGCCTTCTGCTTGCACTAGCTATAGTCTTTTTCATATTTTGTCTAGTTATCCTTGCAAGTTGGAACTTCTTTCTTGTTCCCACTTTTTGTTGAACACTTCATAGATCCATTATGTTTTTACTTCAACTTAAAATTAAAAACCGAGAGAAAATATATTTTGGAGTCCTTAAAGGACCCTCTTATAGTCTTCTATTTATAATGATATAGAGCTGATACAATAGGAGATAAAAGATCAAAGGACTGTTCCTAGACTGATAGACACAGAACTAGGTACACTTGGAAGAGATTTCCCAGTTATACCTTTTTGTTGTGGTTATGGTGTTGTTGTTCTAGCGGTGCAAGCGATTACCATCATGAATCATCGGCTCCGATATCATTTATGGTTTTTTTTTTCTTTGTGAGGGAGTTATCAGAGAGATATTATATATATGTGACGTTGAGTCTTATCCCATATAAGAAATTTGATGTTATTTTTAACTCAATCTTAAGGGAATGAGTTTATGAGTATTTCATTTTATATGATGTATAACTTTGTCATCTTTACTTGACGTAGAATTTAGACTTACATTTAAATTATTCCCATCAAAATCCTACAATGCTTCTCATACCATAAAGCTGAAGTTGATAGTATTTATTAACTTCCTTCTGTGTTTGACCAGCTGGCTGTTTTGTCTGCGTTCTTGGGGCCTGATCAGAGTGCAACAGAAACTTTATTGGCTAGTGATCCTGATGTTGCTCCTTGGGTTCAGAAATACCAGAGGAGCCGTGAAACGGTCTCTCAGACAGATTATGAGGTGAGTTCATCTATGAATAGCTCTATCCATGAACAGCAATGAAGTTTCTGAAGCTCTTTTGTTTAGTTCGAAAAACTCTTGTTGTTTCCTTTGGTTTCTTTACTTTTTCATTTCTTTCCAGGTTGATTTGATAACTACTTTCACAAAACTTAGTACCTTGGGCCAGCAAATCAACTATGAGGCATATACATATCCTCGCGCAAAGATTGACATTACCAAACTCAAATTGTGAAAAGTATAATTGTACCATGTAATCTCTTTCCCCAGGACAAACCTTGAACTTCAAGTTTTGACTTGCTTCTGTTCTCTTGTTACTGGAAACTTTGAGCTTCCATCTAAATTATTCATGCGCATGTAGTGAGAGAAGTGTTCAAGAATCGATCAAATCGTTCCAAACCGCTAAATTGTTAGAAAAACCAAAGATTGAAAGGAGAAAAAAAAACTACTAAAGAAAAATGGTATTAAAAAAAATGATTTGGTATGCTTTTGGGTTTTTTTTGACTTGAATTAAACTGCAAATATAAATGTTAACCTTATCATGAACAAATATTTGTGCTTTTCTTTACCTTTTCTCCAATCTCTTAGGACAATCTTAGGAAATACATAATTGGCTTGTGTTTTAAGGTCTTATCTCAAATGAAACTACGAATACTGTTTTAAATTTGCTGTTATTTTTATTTATAATTAGAAAGTACATTGTTATTTTTTATGTTTTAGAGTTATGTAAAGAAACTAATCAAAATATACCGCAAATATAGAACGATTATCTTTGCAGAATAAAAAAATTACCCATCAAGAAGCCCTAACAGTATCCATTAACAAAGATATTTCAATGGCTCCGAAGTTGGTTTTAATCACAGCCTATTAATACTCATAATAATTAGAAATGTATAAAAATATTAAAAAAGTATTTTAAATTCATAAAACTTAATAATAATACTATTTTATAATGATCGGTGAAGTCAATGAATATTTCGTAACAACTTCCAAAAGTTAAATTTAAATCGAATGGTATATAGGCCAGCATTTCACTAATGTAAACTCACATTTGTAAAACAAAATATTTAGTTCAGTAGAGTAAATATAAATACATTTTATTTTTAATATGATAAGAAAAATAAAAAAGAATCATCTAAAAAATGAAGTTAATTTTATCTAAATTGTTAATGAATCAAGTAATTAAGCACACCTTTCATATTTAGTATTTGTCATGTGTTTACATGTGTTAAAATCAAACCCAAACTCAATTACTTACATCAATACTAATTGCTCTAAATTGATTATTCAAAAATTAATTAATAAATGTTTGCGTTTTCTTTACAAATGACATTTTCACTCTAACTTTTAACTGAGAAATATGAAAATGGCATTGTCATTTTCACTGACGTACAAATTTCCTTTTATCAATGTATACACGTTTAATGGCTTTTAGTCAATCCCCGTTTTACAAGTTTGTAAATGACTTGAATTAAATACTACACTACCGTATCAATTTATTAGTTAAATAGACTAATCTAGATTAATATTCAAAATGCAAGTTTAAGAAAAGATAGGAAGAAAGTTTAGTGAAGAGTACAAATATATAATTATCTTACCTAAAGGGTAAAGAGTAAAGGGAAATTTAACAAATAAAATGTGAAAGCAGTTCTCTCTCTAACTTTGCAAAACCTCATTTTCCCTGTTTTATTGGCCAAATTATACATCACTCCGTTTCCCCATCTTTTCTCTCAACTAAATCTATTTTTCTCAAATAATTGTTATAACTAAGTGCGAAAAATGTAAAAATAAACGTTTTTTTTAGAAGGGATGAAATTTATAGAAGACTACAGTACTGATAATCGAATGAAAAATGTAAAATTTATCTCTGGACATTTCTCCAGCCCTTCCTGAAAATAGTATAACTCGAGCTTAGTTCAAACATGGATCCAAAATTTCTTATTAATTCCCCAAATGTATGGGAGTTTATGTCTAACGATTTCAAATATAATACTGCACAACGAATTGAGCAGCCATTTCAAATATGCACCACCTACAGCGGGCCTGGGAATGTTCCGTTCTCCCTTTGTTCATTCCATCTGTCAATCTGATGCATAGACAAAGTTATGAAAACAGGTTGTTAGCACACCTCCACAATTTCAAGATTAGCAGTAGCAGGAATAAAGAAACTAATGAACAGTTTTTGGAAATGTCTAAGCAAGCCATTAGCAAAAAACAAAAAATCAAACAAAAAATCAAACATTTATGTTTATTTGACCGGGTGGCAACTGCTATTGAAAATGAAAATACTAAGTATTACCCATGATAACTTTGAACTGAGGCCAAGTTCTAAATGTGAAACTTGGAATATGTTCTTCAACTGATAAGAAATATATTCATCAGAATGTGACATTTCCATGTTTGTTAAATCATTTAAAAAGTATTCCTGGGTATTATGATCCATTGGGAAGTTGTAACTTCCACTTTTATCATGTTCTACATTTCAATTCCCATGAGCAGGTTGGAAAATAATGTCTGGGAATACCAGAAGTTGTCTTCTACACATGTAGCTTCCATTTGTAGAAGAGCAAAACATAGAGAGAGCATAATAGTAGAATGATTGGAACAAAGGGCAAGCGCTGCAAAAGCAGCTCCAGCGATGACAGTAGTGTGAGTTGCAATGCCAACAACGATGAACTAGCGGCATCGGGGAGTTGCGTGAGTTCTCTGATGGTTGTCCATGATGGCAGTAATGTTTCCTTTTTTTTTATCGGCAAATATTAGTTGTTAATATTTTATTAGCGGAAAAATTGAATCAATGACCTTTCCCACCTTCCTTTCCAAATCCATCAAATCAATCTTATAACCAAGGTAGTCAAAATCGTGATCATACTCAAGATTGGAAGGAAAATATAAATCATAAATCGAGTACGAAAATTCTAACACGGATAGTAAGATCCTACAAATTTTATGAAATTGATATTCACACAGAAAATCATTATATTTCATTAAAAAACAAAGAGAGAAAAATAGATTGAATTGGAATGAGACTAAATGGGGTGGGGATTTTTATGTTTTAAAGAAGAGAGAGTAATTGTTTTTTGCAGTGGCAGTTTTCTTCACTTACGATAAAGAGAGGGAATTACTGTTTCTTTTACTTTTTCAGTGCAGTTAAGGTTTTCAAAGATTTCAAAGAGTCAGTTTTATTTTTTGGGGCAGTTTACATAGTCATTTACTAATTGGGCTAAAAATATTTTAAACAAAATGGGCTAATGTTTTAAAACGGGTCCAATTCCTACCCACTAAAAAACCCTAGAGTTGTATGCCACAACTCATGAAAGCGCACAAGAGGCCAGCTTCAAGGTTGCACCACCACCAGTACTGCTAGAGTCGACCGCTGAGGCAGCACTGCCACAAGGTCTATCGGCTTCTCCTCCATCACAGTTGGAAGGATTGCATTGCCAGAGGCGCACCATCGCAAAGTCTGGCGACTTCTCCCTCACTATTGGGAGAGGCCACATTGTGAGACTCGTTGTTTCCACACGATTTTTAACAGTGATCCAAGGCGATCCAACAAAATTGTAACTTCCAAGCAATGTGAGGTCAGGGAAGGGGAATAAGATCGTTGACTTGTACGATCTTACATGTTGAAGGGCGATTTTGACTACCATGCTTATAACTCCCAAATGTTAGAACCCACAACCTCTCTCACCCTCTCTTCCAACTTTACCATTAAGTCAACCTTATAACTCCTATGATGGCAGTGATAGTTAGCATCAAGATCAACATCATCAAGTCTCCTTTGTTTTTGATTTCCAAACATATGGGAACCCTAGCAGAACAAAAGAGTCATGCAACACCAATGTTGGTATTCATTTTTGAGTTGGATTGGGCATGTTTTAGCTAACAAATGGGTTATCGAACTCTAGCTTCTCAAGATGGGAAGAATCAACGTCGCACACACACAATCCCTAGATTCGACGAGCAACATGATCTTACTATAATTCACACCCCCTTCCCCCAACTGGATCTGTGTTGGCACACAACCTCCTTTGCACTTGCGGGATAGAGCAAGTTTGTGAGTTACTCACAATTTAGACAACATTAAATATAATAGTATTTATTTAAACAAACACTCCCTCGAGGTTAGCCCTCATCAATTTTGCTTATGTGGTATGGTTACAGGTCTGCAGGCCAAACATTATGTGAAACAGGTCAACAAAACTAGCTCGTGATTGTTATGTTCACCTGTTCAACCTGAGCTGTCTTTTGCAAGCCACATGCGGGACAAGCCATCCCATATTGCCATCCCTACTACTCAGTGAGGTCAACTACATGGATAAAATCATGACGTGATTTTTTTCTCATCATCTTTAGCTATAGGGTTATCTATCATGTGATTAGTCCCCTGATTAGAGTCAGAATAGGTCTTCACAAATGTTTGAACCACCTAAGTAAAGATTCTAATGTATTTCCTACAATACACTTTTTAACACATTCATTCTCTCTGCTATCTTGTCAAGGATTTCCACTCATCCAACGCACACTAATCTTGTCATTGCTTTACATCAATTGTGGCTTTTCTATTCAAGGAGACGCTAATCATGGTAAACAACAAAATTGATTCTAATCATTTTAAAAAAATGAAGATCTTCATATGAAGAACATTATCAGGTGACTAAAGCATGGTTTATTGAAAAGGAATATAGTACATTTCCAAGTTCTCAGAATGAATTCAAATGGTTAAGAAGCCACAGTAATTAAAGGGATGAAGGAATAATAACGTATTAAAGATGGCATAGAGATGACATGAGTAGACAGAAATTAATTTAACATCTAGAAGCTAAAACTGAAGGGCAAAGATTCATTCATCTATCAATATACAGGAATATTAACCACATCTTAAGAGCTTCCTCTAATCTCTTTATACACAAAAACAAGTCTTCCTCTCCATAAAGCATCCTTACATATTTAATAAGTTATTATTTTAGTCATTTTTATAGATATCAACGTCTGTCCATCTTTCAATACCTTTTCAATTTAGCATTTAGTCAAATATCTTGAGAATAGCATAGAAAACAAAAGGAATGCTAAATTGTAGAATACCAGACGAAATTCTTTATAAAAAATTATATTACTAGTAAAAATGTAACTACATTTCTATGCAAAGGAATATTATAAGACCATAAACAGATAGAAATTTTATGCTATCAAAAGGAAGTGTAAATCTCGTTGGACAAAAAGACCCTAGCACTTAGTAGATAATAAACAATGTTCAATGGTAAAATACATACCCATTCACCAGGGCAAAGAGAACGATAATACTTAGCAAACTTGTCACATTCTGATGCACCTTCACCCTTTGCAGCTACACATCTGCACAAGAATTTGGTATATTAAAATAAAGTAACAGTGTTTGAGAAATGTGAACAATGAGCTAAATAGAAATAAAAGTCAACCATATATAACTCACCGATGATATTCAATGTATCGGGTAAAGCAATGCCTGGTTTGATTTGTAGTTGGAAAACGGAAATCTGCTGGAGCAGTTTCAAGCTGGAAAATAATAGCACAAATATTAAAACATTGAAGGAGTGCCAACCTTGCTCATGAGGTACTTTTGTACCAATTCTATAAAAGTGATTCAGTAAATGTCACCTTGATTTCAGGGGTCTCTTCCGCTGCATCTTCATTGCCAGAGTTATCCTCAACATTTCCACTACTTTGCTCTTCAATGCTTTCTTCAGCAGGAGGAGGGCTTACTTCACTGCTCTCCTGTGCAACTGCAGGGGCAACAGGAGTTGTTTCTTCCACAATTTTCTCAACAACAGCTTCCACAGAACCAGCCTCCTGTGGGTTTTCAACTTCTTTGACTTCAACGGGTTTTTCAACTACAGCTGTTTTCTCCTGCTTGTCACTCACATGATATTCCTGCAAGCCAATAAAACATGTCACTTCCTTATCTAACACTTTGAAACAAAAAACCAACCATCAGAGTGTAAAAGAATGCTGATTGGAGGCATAAAAAATGTAAATTGAGCTGAGGAAATTGAGGGAAAGGATCATCACTACCAAACGGGAAAGTTAGAAGCTGGAAAAACATCTTACCTTAGCAATTCTACGGAGCTTTTAATGTTCATGACATGGAATTTACATAACCGATCTATCCAACAACATTTAATGCTGTTAATTTCATTATTTAGTCATATGCTATAGGAGTAAGCATACATACATACATATAAGTTGCAAAAGCCCTAATGTCATAATGTCGCTCATGTCAATTACTTTTGTCTTTATAGTTATACAAGCCATAAAAAATAAAAGAAAAATTGAAGTAAAATGGAATGTAAGATTAATGCCGACTTGGTTGATTCAAAATCCCAATTGCAAAGAAAACTCATTCCAACAGTACTTCTGTTTGGGCTTCTTTTTTATTCAAAATCATTCTGCGTAGAATTAATTTTGATAGAATTAAGATCCGCTCTTTCTCCGTTGGGAAGACTACTTCAGTATGTAGACACCCACTGAGCATATCTATAATAACAGTTCAATAGTGATTTTACATTATTATACAAACATAAAACGAATCCTTCTAAACTCATTTTAAAAATTCCCAAACATAAATAAATATTTTAAACCTCAATTGTTCCAATACAACACCAATTCTACCAAAATAAAAAACAACAGACCCAGGAATAACGTTATTCCGCCAACATAGAGACTTAATTCGGTGCCCATGATATAGATCAGGCTTACAATTATCAGTAGATATAAAGCTGGAAAATGTAAGGGATTGTGTCAAGCTCAATTTTATATTTTTAATCCATACACTAGAAAGCACTTTAAAAAACACTACCACCAAAGGAAAAAAAAAAACGCAGCTGAAACCTAATCTAGATTTAGTTCAAGGAACTACAGATTGTGAGACAACAAAATCAAGGTCTGATTTGTAAATTCGATGGTTAATGAGATTAACTGAACACCAGTGAAAAGGAAGATTCTGGAAGCGGAACTGAAAAGGGGAGAGATATTAAAGAGAGATGAAGGAAGGATACCTCGGCGAGAGATTGAGATTTGTCGGCAGCAGTTTCCGCCATTGATGGTCACGAGGCGGCTACAACACAAGAGAGGATTCGAGTGTTGTAGGTCAAAACTCGGAAAGCTTAAACAGATTGAGATCGTGTTCGTGTTCGTGTTTGTATAAGGTTTTATGGTTAAAATATTCGGAAGAGTCAGGAAAAAAAAATTAATATAAAAACAATTACGATTAACAGTTATGCTGTAATGATAAATATACAAAAATAACTTTGTATGAATTCTTACATGTCTATTATATTCTTTGTTTTGAAATTGTATACAGCTATGCTCAATATACATGTACTTCTTTTTTTAATTTCTTATATTTCATGCTATTTTTTGTTTAAATTATTATAAGAAAAAAATATTAATAAAGAAGTGTGATAGGGAGAAAGTAAGGAAAAAAAGAAGAAGAAAAAAATGGTCAAAAGAGATTTCTCATCGGAGCATTAAAAGTTATAAAATAAGAAATGAAAAAGTCATATGTGGAATCGAAAATTATTCTAATAATAACATATCAATTTAATAGAAAAACTAACATTTGTAAGTGAGATTATGTAGGCAAAATTTAAGCAATGTAATTCATCTTAATGTATTCAGTTATTTCATAAAAGATCTAATTACAAGCAATTTGTACTGTATATTGATCATCACAATATAACAAAGTTGGATGAATAAATGAAGCACGAAAATTTTTTACTAGAATTGTTGGTCATTGAAGCTTACCTATAGTAGATTCTGGGGTACGATACTATGTTTTCGAAGAGCTCCTAGAAATGCTTCTTACAAAATTGAGAAACTAAAGAGGATTTAAAAAATCAAAAAGCTATTAGTTGAGCAACAAAAGTCTATGCAACTTGTTCAATCAGAGTCATTGAAGACCTTATAATGGAGAATACTACCAAAAGTGCCAAACTCGGACATACCTTTTAAATAGTGAAAGAACACCAAAATTGTTTAATAATGATCCGAAGTTAGGCATGAAACAAACTAACTTAAGTGTTGAACAACATATGTAATAGCAGAATGAGTATTAATCAAATATATAAGTCTGTCAATTAGTCATTAATATATAAATAAATTAGAGAGTACATCACTCGAAGTAGAATGAAGAAAAAAGTTGTAATCAATAAGAGAATTGAGACAAGGTTTTAAGTAAGTATCCTTTATCTAAAAACAAATCTAAAATATACTTCTCTTACATAAATGATGCCAAATTTAGTGCGAGCAACCTCGATAATTTTTAAATTTTCAAGACCTTTGATATTAAATGTAGAATCAAGAGAAGAGGTAATGTGATATCTTTCAAAAAGGTCATCAACAACTAAGATTATGTAATCGATATAAATAAGAAAGGATTGTTAGAATTTGACAATGGAATGTTCACATGTGGAAAAAAATCAAGATATGAGTTAATTGGTTTACTTAATAAAATCATGTCTTTTAAAAAAATTTCCTTTTTATAAACCAATTTTATAACAAAAATCAATTTATAAATAATAACAATAAAGATAAAAAGTGTAGGAAAAGAGAGAATTGTACAAATAATTTTATACTGGTTCGGATCAAAAGACTATGCGTCTTGTTATTAATATCTCTAAAGAGGGATTAACTAATCACTAATAAACAACCACAACTTACAATCACAGAGAATAAAGTTTCGGTTAGAAAAGTCATCTCTTAAAGACACAAGAAATTAAAAACACATCCTTTGACACATAAAGGATGAACAATGATGTGTGAACAAAAGTAATTGCATTCATATCTTAGTTTAGGCCATTTGCATACATAATGGCATTAATTGAATGATTTCATCATACATTATCCTGGTTTCATATCATACATGGGGATTTTGTGTTTTTGTTGTAGATTGGTGATTCTAAGTGTCAAAATCACAACTTGGAATGAATTGAGGTACAAAATGCAAATGCAAAACAGAAAGTTCCACAACCTGGCTATGGACAGTTCCACAACCTGTGGATTTTGCTTCAGGAAGTACAAAATTGAATCCAAAGAAGAGAACAAGCAGATTGTGGATTTTTCCATGAGCTGTGAAACTTTTCAGATCAGTTACTAACCTCTTTTATGACATGGATTTATAGAGATTTAAATTAAATAGAAATTAAAGGATAGTTACTGAGAGAGAGTAACCACTCTCTTAAAAAGAGGAATGAGGGGGATTAAAGGAGGAGGATTGAAAACGTTAAAAAAAGGGGAACGTACCAGGAGGACATCAACGTTCATGCCACGGCTTCAACACTTCTTCTTCTTCTTTTGGTTTGCTTTTGAATTTTACATTATGCATAACTAAATTTCCTTTTGTTAGAGGATTGATGTAGTACTTTGGATTATGATTATGAACCTTTTCCATTGATGTTTAGTTAATTTTAATTATCCAGTGTTTTATTTATGTTTTAATGTCTATGTTATGAGCAGTTTCACAATTGGGAAATTTGGGGATTGTTTGCGATTATAAATAAAACAGATTAGATGTTGTCACAATTGGGAAATTGGACACAACTAATTAGTTTGCAATTGAGATAATAATTGTTCTTCATGATTTTATTGAATTTTGTAACTGACCTAAGGGATTGGGGGTTAGAATTCAATGGATAGGTTTGCCTGTATAAGGAATTAGGGGTAAACAAGCTCTTAATAAACTCAAGAGGATAATTATAATTCACACATCAATTGGAAATGGTAGGAATTTATATGAAAATGTATGAAATCAATTCTTTAACATTGTTTATACTATTTGAATTCCCATCACTTGTTTATGTTCATCATTTTACTTGATATTTTTTGTTGCTCAAAATTATGTAAATTAGGAATCTAGTACTCAACTCATTCAATCCCAGAGGATGATATTTTATTACTACAATAACGATTGGTACACTTGCCAAACGTTCATCAAGTTTTTGGCGTCGTTGCTGGGGATTGATTTCAGTTGATATTAGTGATCTAATTGGCTTAAGATTTGAGTTGTAGATTTTAGGAAAAAAAATCGTTTCTAAATTCTGCTTTTCGTTTTTAATTGTGTTCATTTATTTTGTTGTCGTGTAATTTCTGTGTGTAGTGTTTTTGTGTCTTTAAGTTGTTTATGCGAGGTACTGTTGCTCTGGAAGATTTTCTTTTTGATTCAGAAATCGAATGCACTGCCACAAGCAATAAAAGTAGTGCAATAAGGAGAAAGAGAGAAAGAAGAAAGGAACAAAGACGGATTGAGCAAGAAGAGGAGACATCAATAATGGCAGAAGAACAACCTTTGAGAAGGACTCTTCGTGATTATTCTATGCCAAATCCTAACAGTTATCAAGGGAGCATTGTGAGACCTCCTATTCAAGCCAACAATATTGAAATCAAGCCTGCATTGTTACAAGTCATCCAACAAAATCAATTTGAAGGTGCAGTTTCAGAAGATCCTAATTCTCACCTGGAGAATTTTCTGGCAATCTGTGATACTTTGAAGTATAATGGAGTTTCAGATGATGCAATTCGCTTAAGAATTTTTCCCTTTTCACTACGGGATAAAGCTAAAAGTTGGCTTCAATCACAACATTAAGGGAGTATTTCTACATGGGAGGATATGGCTACCAAATTTGTAACCAAATACTTCCCTCCGTCCAAGTTAGCTAAAATGAGAAGTGAGATCACTACCTTTGTGCAGCAAGAAACTGAATCCTTATATGAGGCATGGGAAATATACAAGGAGCTAATGAGGAAGTGTCCACATCATGCTCTACTAGAATGGTTGCAAGTGCAGATTTTCTATAATGGTCTTGCACCCTCTTTTAAAGAAATTTTGGATGAAGCAAGTGGAGGATCATTTAATCTTAAAACACCAGAGGAAGCTTTAGGAAGCTTTGGAGACTCTTGAGCTAATGGCAAACAACACACTGAATATGCAGTTTGATCGCCAAAATAGAAAAGCTGGAGTATTGGAAGTTAATACTTTGGATGCTATCCTAGCCCAAAACAAGTTGCTAACACATCAAATCACTGATTTGACTTAGAAGCTGGAAAATATGCAATCAAGTAATGTTAATACAATATCTCCATTGTGTGATTTTTGTGGAGGAATGCATCAGAATGGTGAATGTTAGGCCACTCAACAAGAGGCCCATGTGAATGCAGTGGGACAACAACAGAATCAGTTTTCTACCAACCTTAATGCAAATTGGAGGCACCAACCAACTAGACCTTGGAGCAATCCAATCGAATCTAATCAACCACAACCTCCATATCAATATCAAGCACATCCTAACAATCAAGGAAATAAGATGTTTATGTTGGAAAATGCATTAGAGAAGCTAACTATGCAAACTTCTATCTTTATGGAGCAGACTTCTAATTTCATGAATGAGACAAGGACTAACTTCAAGAACCAGGAAGCTTCAATAAGAAATTTGGAGAACCAAATTTGTCAACTTTCAAGACAACTCTAAGAGAGATCTCCTAGAACATTCCCTAGTGACACCATGCCAAACCCAAGGAAACAATGTAAGGCAATTCAATTGAGGAGTGGAAGAGTGTTAGAGAATGAAAAAAGGAGTGAGATGGAGAGAGAGAAAAAGAAAAGAGTTGATGAAACAGTAGAAGAGAGAAAAGAAAATGAAGTTGAGAGAAGATGTAAGGAGAAGAATGAGGGAGAAAAAAATCAAGAGAGTGGGAGTAAAATGTGAGTATGTCCCTATAATTCCATTCCCTCAAAGGTTGAAGAAACAAGAACAAGCGAAGCAATTTGCAAGATTTCTTGATGTCTTTAAGAAGCTCCACATTAATATTCCATTTGCTGAAGCATTGGAGCAAATGCCAAGTTATGCTAAATTCATGAAAGATTTGTTGTCAAAGAAAAGGAAGCTTCAAGAAGATGAAACAATTATGCTCACAGAGGAGTGCAGTGCAATAATTCAACAAAAATTACCTCCTAAGTTGAAGGATCCAGTAAACTTTGTCATTCCATGTGAGATTGGAAATATAACGGTGGGTAAGGCATTGTGTGACCTTGGAGAAAGTATCAATTTGATGCCCTTGTCCATTTTTAAAAGGCTGGGTATTGAAGAAGTGAAGCCTACTATGATAACTCTACAATTGGCAGACCATTCAATGACTTATCCTTATGGAATTATAGAAGA